TTCCAGAATAATCTCATGTCAGAAATGTTTTGAAAGCAAGCTTTCCCGTTAGGTAAGAGATAACCACAAGCCAGTGTCATTTTCTAGCAGAACTTCATAAAGTCACCAAGGCAAAAGTGTTCATCTCAGAATTCTCCTCTGCAATACAGATTTGCTGCTTGGATTGCTCCAATGATTAAAATTTACTCAAGAGAACAGTCTCCCAAACAAGGGGTTGTAATTTAAGGAAATTCCATCCTCTCCTTTCCCCAGAGATCAAGTATTCAATCTGACCATGACAAGATGCAATGCCATTTCTATAAACTTGCAAACATGCCCAAACAGTACTTGTAGGCTATTCATAAAGAATATGTTTATAGCAAAATTAAAAGCATGCACCAACATAATAAACCATCACATGGGTGGCCTCCGGGGAAGAATGAAGGGAAATGGGACTGAGAGGAGTTCAAGGGGATTTCAACACTAGCAGTCGTATTATTAATTTTATAAGAGAAATGACAAAAGGTCAATTTTTTCTGTATGTGCTGTTCCTTGTTAAATTGGTTTCCCTTTTTTTCTTTCTTTTCTCTCTTTTAACTTTTCCAATCAAAAAAGAAGGAGGAGAAGGAAGAGAAGGAGAAATAAACAGATATTACTCTCAAGGGTCATTTGACTTTTTCCTGAAACAAAGCTGTCAAGCCAAGGAAAGATTATATTCAATTTGTTTTTTTTTCCTGGTACTGGAGATTGAACCCAGGGGCGCTTTACCACTGAATTACACCGCCAGACTCTTTTTATTTTGAGACAGGGCCTCACTAAGTTGCTGAGGCTGGCCTGACCTCAGCCTCCCCAGTGGCTGGGATCACAGGCATGTGCCACTGTGCCCAGCGAGGCATGCAGTTTTTAATATATGGCTTTAAGGTTGCTACAAGGTGGTGGTGGGGGGGGGGGGGCGTAATGTATCTTTATGTAGAAAAAGGTTTTCTTTCATATTCTTCGTTATACTTATATCATTTGGTTTGGATCAATTCAGATTCTATGAAAAAATTGTCATTTGATCATCAGTGAAGCTAACATCCAGAGTGCTGAATCTGATTCAGGAAGCTAAAGCCTTTACAGAGGCACATAAAAGATAGGATACATTTTTCCAACATCTCATGAAAGGTAACTGGGAATTATTCACGAATACATGAAACTTCTATATAATTACAGTCATTACAGATAGCACCATAACTTTGTATTTATTTTCAATTCTTTAAATAAGATGCTTTTTTAAATCCCTTTTATGCTTGACTCTCTAGGACTGCGAGATCTAATCTAATCTTTGCTTTTCTTCACATTCAAGACCATTTCCCCTCCCCCCTTCCCCACCCCCCACCCCCACCCCCACCTCCCCACCCCCCCCACCCCCGCAGTGACTGTGGAGTCATTTGAGATGCTGTTTGTTTACTTAAGGTCTTGAAAGTGACTTTGTTATCTGAGCAAAACAAGGGTAGTAGCACTCAAAGAGGCTTGATGGATATTCGTTTTTTGGTCAAATGTGTTTTCTAATCGTTGTGACTGAATAAGAAAAGGGAAATAGTCTAACAATTAGTCTAACAAGCTCAGCCATAGACAAGTTGGGTTACAGGAAGATGGAATTCTCTACAGATGGTTACAGTTAATTAAAATCCCCTCTCTTTTAGGATCAGAAACCCAGATACCCCTCAAAAATGTCATCTTCCAAAGTATGATGGTATGTGGGTGTGGTGGCCCACACCTGTAATCAGACACTCTGGAGGCTGAGCCAGGAGGATGGAAAGTTCAAGGCTAGCCTGGGCAACTTAGTAGACCCTGTCTCAAAAATAAAAAGTAAAAAGGGCTGGGGATATAGCCCCAGTGGTAAAGTGGTCCTGGGTTCCAACCCGAGTATCACCCACCCACCCCTCAAACACACACACACACACACACACACACACACACACATATATATATATATATATATATATATATATATATATATATATATATATATATTTGTAGCAGAATATTATAACAAAGTGAATAGGTCTTGTCTTTATTTTGCTCTTATTTCAAAGAGAAAATTTACATAGTGTTTAAAAGTACAGCCGCTCGGACAGACTAAGTTCTGTAGAATTTGATGCAATTTATTTCAATGCCCAGTGCCTCGGTTTCCTCATCTGTAAAATGGATATTATAATAATAGTACCTACCTGACAGAGTTTCCCCAAACACACCCCTCAGGGTTGCTAAGAAGAGAAATATGAGTATTTGTAAAACATTCAAATTGTTTTCAATACAGACAGCAATCCTTGCCAGGTGCAGGGACACAGTGAGATGCTAAGAAGACAATGTATGTGAAGGGCTGTAGCCCTCTGCAGGGTGAGGGCCCCAGTCACAGTATCAGATAGTTCTTTCCTAGGGAAGGGTGAGCACCAGTCTGAAAATCATGGCTTCATTCCCAAGTGGAAAATTTGAGCAACAGGAACATTAAATTATTCCATAACAGTTTCAAAGTCCGGCTAAGCAAAGGTGGGCATGTTAATGAACTGATCACCGTGGGGACAACCTTTGAGTCAGTCACGGCAAAGGCATAGAGAAGGGAAAGGTAAGAATTAATTAATTTACCCTTAATTTCCACTCTGTGAGAGGAAATTAAGGGTAAATGATTGTCATCCAGTATTGTAAGATTTTTCTTGCTGTTGTTTTCAGGGGATTGAACTCAGGGGTGCTTTAGCACTAAGTTACATCCCTGGCCTTTTTTTTTTTTTTTTTGACAGGTCTCCCTAAGTTGCTGAAGGCCTCACTAAATTGCTTTCACTGGCCTTAAACTTGCAACTCCACCTGCCGCACCCTCCCCAGTTGCTGGGATGACAGCCGCTGTGCCTGGCTGGGATTGTTAACTATTCTAACAAAGGAGAATGTAGAAAGTGCTGAGGCATCGGTCTTCTCTCTGCAGGCCTTGGGGAAGGTTTCCAAGGGAATACCAGAAGGAGGTCATCATTTGGAAGGAGGAGGGTATCCAGTCAGAGCAGAGGCCCAAGCTGGGGATGGAGCATGGCCCTGGAGCTCATCCACACAGGGAATCTGTGGAAGGACACAACGGGCCTAAAATGAGGTGGAGAGGAGACGTCTTTCTGCAGTTGGAACCTTGGTAGCCTTCTGAGGTCAGCACCATTCAAGAAGATATTTCTGAACCTAGTGCAGATGATGCATTGGAGTGAGAAAGTCAAGGTGGCAGGAGAATTTATTAATAAGAAAACAATCCTCACTGTCCATCAAGTGTTAACTAGATAAACAAATGTGGTATAGATATTGAAATATTGTTTGAACATAAAAAGGAATGAAGTAAGGATGCACACTACACACGATGAACGGATGAACCTTGGAAACATGCTAAGTGAAGAAAGCTAGTCACCAGAGACCATGTGTAACTAGGTAACAGAACACCTACAACAGGCAGATCTAGAGGGACAGAAAGCAGATTAATGGTTTCTAGGAGCTGGGCAAGAGGGAAGCCCAATGACCAATAATGAGTGTGAGGTTTCTCAATGAGTATGAACAGGTTCTGAAATCAGATAGTAGTGATGACTGCACAACTGTAACTATACTAAAAGCTACAAATTGTTCATTAACATTGTCCCTTTTAAAACAGAAAACCAGGCACAGTGGTGCACACCTGTGATCCAAACTACTCAGGAAGCAAAGGCAGTAGGATCCAGAGTCCAGGTCCCACCAAGAACAACAAAGAGAGACCCTGTTTCATAAATAAATAAAATTAGCCGGACGTGGTGGCGCACACCTGTAATCCCAGTGGCTCAGGAGGCTGAGGCAGGAGGATCCCAAATTCAAAGCCAGCCTCAGCAACTGCAAGGTGCTAAGCAACTCAGTGAGACCCTGTCTCTAAATAAAATACAAAACGGGGCTGGGGATGTGGCCCAGTGGTCAAGTGCCCCTGAGTTTAATCCCAGGTATGGATGGATAGATAGATAGATAGATAGATAGATAGATAGATAGATAAATAAAAATTAAATAAAAGAGAAAGAACCTATTGTCATTGGCTGATAGAGAAATAAAGAAGAGCTGAGCAAAATTAGCACCAGAGAAAAATAAATAAACAAGGATAGCTTCCAGAATATTTAGAAGATGCATTTAAAAAAGATACATTTACAAGAAGATACCTTTCAAAGATATGGAGATAAAATAAGAATAAGACATTCCTCAAGCCTTCTAACCAGAGGCAGTAGCTAGATGGGGCTGAGATAGAGAAGAGACAAAGAGGACATATTCCTGCAAAAAAAAAAAAAAGGGTCGGGTTTCAGATGCAACAGGACAAGACAGTAGTGGTGTTATACAAGGCTACGTGAACTCATAGTGACCCATAGATAACAGGAATCAGCAATCAGAAATAAACAAATGACAGGGATACAGTTCAGTGGTAGAGTGCCTACCGACCACATATGAGGCCCTGGGTTCCATTTGCAGCACTGAAGCCAGATTTAAAGTTAGGTAGTCAGTGTAGTTAGGTAAATCGGGTCTAATACCAAGTGAAATCTAAAATGGAGGCCATGCTGGCAATGATTCCGGGAAATGCAGGACAACTCAAGGAATGTTAATGAAGTCCGAAAAGGCCCTAGGCCAAAGTCCACCTCAAAGAAATGTTAATGAACAGCCCCCAGCAAAAAGGTGCTGACTCAGAAGTCCTTCCTGACCAGATTACTTCTTTGGCCCACCTGTGTCCCACCCCTAGGTCCTTCCCACCTACATTCCATTACTGAAAGAACTATAAAAAGGGGAGACAACATCCCTTCCACGGATTCCACCTCTTGGGTCCCCTTCTTCCTCCGGGAGAAGTCTTTTCTGCTGTCCTTTAATAAACTTCTAATTTCTACTCTGACCTTGCCTCGGCGTGCTTCTTTGGTGTTATTCTTCAACATTGGGGAAGCAAGAACTCGTCACCAGTCAACAGCGGTAACAGCACCACCACACACACACACAAAAAAAAATCTTTTGTAGGCCTCTTAAGAAGGCCATGTTTGGCAGAAATATGTATTATTATTATTATTATTATTTTGGGGGGGTACTTGAAAATTTATCTTGGAAACACTTTACTACTAAAACACACTCTCGGTGCTTTTTATTTTTTACATTGAGAGAGGCCCTGCGTTGCTTAGGGTCTTGCTAAGTTTGCTAAGTTGCTGAGGCTGGCCTCAAACTTGCCATCCTCCTGCCTCAGCTTCTGGAGTCACTGAGGTTCTAGGCATGCACCATGATGCCTGGCGGCGGCTGCTACTACTACTACTACTACTACTACTACTACTTCTTCTTCTTCTTCTTCTTCTTCTTCTTCTTCTTCTTCTTCTTCTTCTTCTTTTGTTTTGTTCTGTTGTTTTAAAAGGAACTTGAAGCCATTTATGGAAATGCACTGTATACAAATGCTGTAAGATAAAAATAGAGAATGTGATTAAGGTAAAGGGATATTAATTATAAGAATGTTCAAAGGAAATCTGCAAGTAAATACATGCAGAAATCTATATTAAATGATGTCTTCTACTTTCTGGAAGCAGACACAAATTGGGCACCATTTTTGTAACAGCAGGAACATTAAGTTCAATTATCTGAGAAGCTGAGCGGTGACAAGACTCGCTGGCCCATGGAGAGTCTGGACGACGTGACTTCCTGTGAACTGAGGTTTTGCGACAAAAGGTTTTCTGCTCTGGGGATGAAAGCACCACGGCTGCCCATGCCCAGGCATGTTTTCTCGAGGGCTGTGCCTCTCGCCGAGTCAGGAGGAGCTCTGCCGTCTTTCTCACTGTGAGTTGCAAGACCTTGTCTGGTTCCAGCCACACTCTCCTGCAAGACCAGTTCTTGGAGCTTCTGCTGTTACTTTGCAACAGCAAAATCAGCCACCCCAGTATCTGACGCTCCACTCCAGTGTGTCTTCTCAGTAAAACAGGGCCTCTTGAATATCACAGTGAATTACTGAAAGTGCCTTGACCACCAGAATTTGAGCACGAATCCAGTCAGCCCTAAGGAGATGCCGAGTGCCACATCCTTGCTCACCACCAACCACCTCAAGGCCCCCAAATACAGCAGCAGCTACAGGGGAACTAACAAAGCCAACTGGAGACTAAAAATAAATTTAAAATGCACTGGATGGCAAGCCAGGCATGGTGGTGCATGCCTGTAATCCTAGCAACCCAGGAGTCTGAGGCAGGAGGATTGAGAGTTCAAAGTCAGCCTCAGCAACTTAGCAAGGCCCTAAGCAACTCAGTGATACACTGACTCCAAATAAATACAGAAAAGGGCTAGGGATGTGGTTCAGTGGTTAAGCACCCCTGGGTTCAATCCCTGGTACCAAAAGGAAAAATAAATAAATAAATAAAAGCACTGAACGGTAATACCAAATGTGGAAAAAAAATAACTAAGGTTACCTGGGTACTGCTCTTAGTACCCAAATTCAAACAACAGCTCTGATTCTCACATGCAACCACAGAACTAAGGGTTATTTACTTTAGTTCTTGCTTTGGGATTCTGCTTTATCTCTAGCAGGTCCAAGAAGCTCTCTGGGTTTTTCAAATGAGATAAGTCCATTATCCAAACCCAGGCATTTCCTGTAGGATGGGAGGTTTCACTACCAACAGGCAGCCTCGAGAACCAGGAGAGGCAGGAGGTGGGAGAAGACAAGGAACTCCGGGGTGGGGGGTAATGAAAGTTCTTCTGATTGAATATAGTTGCAAAATGAACAAATGCCTTGAAATATCAAGCCACTCTTCCACTCTCTAGAAAAGGTATGATTATAGGATTGTCTCACCTCCCAGCATGCTCTTTGTGTTTGTTTATTTATTTATTTATTTGGTGGTGGGGTTTTTTGTTTTATTGTTGTTCCAGAGAAATTTTCTTTGCAAAGCCATTGGATATAAAGCAGTCTTCAAGAAACCACAACAGTCTCGCAGGGAGGCACGTGGGTCTTCTGTCACTGGAGACACCATGCCAGCTCTTGCCCTGCAATTAACCAGCCCAAGCCCAGCAGGGTGGAGTGCACTCGGGGCCTGTCTCCAGATTTGTAAGACAAGACGTTGAACAAGATGGTTTCCAGTCGCCCTTCTGTCTTGAACCTCTTCTTGATAAACTGAATCAGTGCAGTGACCATGAAAAAGGTCACTGTCATTTCAAAATGCTGGGCTTGAGCCGTGGTTCTGCTACTGATGTCGTCACCTTTGCCAATCCTCAGTTTGCTCATTTAGAAGATGAGAATAATGAACAGGATATTCCGAATTCATAGAAGAGTTACAAAAACTAAATAAAGACTTACAGAAACAGTGTACTTGGGCAATGACCTATACTTAGCACACACAAAAAAGTTTTCTTCTGTCATTGGTATACTACCCCACAGAAGAAGAAACAGGACAGGCTCCTGCATTGAAACCCTACATAACTGTAAATTTAGCTACAAGAACAAAAGTGAGTCTTAATACTTTTCTCATTACAAAAATAATAATGTGCATTGTAAGAATTTTAGAATATATTTTTAAAGCATTAGTTCTTCAGGGGGAAGAACTCCTCTAAAACATGACAGTTTTTGAGATAAAATGACCAAACTTTAGATGGGCATGGTGGCTCAGGCCTGTCTGTAATCCCAGTGGCTCAGGAGATTGAGGAAGGAGGATCGTGAGTTCAAACTAAGCCTCAGCAACTTAGCAAGGCCCTAAGTAACTCAGTGAGACCCTGTTTTTAAATAAGATACAAAAAAGGGCTGGGGGTGTGGCTCAGTAGTTAAGCACCTCTGGGTGCTTAACTGGATTGATCCCCAGTACCAAAAAAAAAAAAGACCAGACTTTAAATTTTGTTATTACAGAATCCAAGTCTTTCAAACTTCAAGAAGTCACCACAGCACAGAATGCCAAAGCTCTGCAAAATGCAATCATTGCCATTCTTGTTCTCTGCCATTTTTAAGGCCATTTCCTCCCAAGGAGGGAAATTATGGAATACATTACCCAAGATGTTTCTTCTCCACCCCCTGCTAGGGCAGGCCCTATTTCCGGTCACAAGCAGCAGCTGCCTTGATATCCAGTTGCGTTTCCCTCTGCACCTGCCCTGCTCAGCCCAGCAGAGACCATTTGTATGGGAAGAGACAACAACAGCCTCAGAGCGGGGAGGCTGGCAGCCTTCCAGGCTCTTGTCTTCCTGAGCGTGATCCTGCCTTAGCATATGATGTTCGGTGTGGCTTACAGATGATGCTAACGAAACGCCTCAAAAAGAATTCACACAGAATGATTTTGTGCTTAGGGACAATGGAAAATATTGAAGAAAAAGAGGATGTCACCATGTGTTTGGGGTCCTTAGCACCCCTGTACCTATGCTGTGACCACTGTAAGTTTTTATGATCCTTAAAGACTGGGACAAATATCATCCTGCCATTAAAAAAAAAAGGAATAAAATGGCTATGTATTCAGCAACATAAACAGACCTGGAAAATGTTACGCTGAATTTAAAAAGCTAGAGAACAAGAAGGACAAAAAGATTGCTTGATTCCATTTATTGAAGTAAGCAAATTCATGGAGACCAAAAGTAGAAGAGGTTGCCAAGGATTGGTGAGGGAAGCCTAGTTATTGTCTCATGGGTGCAGCATTTGTTAGGAGATGATGAAATTCTGAGCATCGGCAGCGATGATGGTTACATGACATTGAATGTACGCAATGCACTCATACACTTACAAATGATTAATGATACATACTACATTCTGTATGTTTTACCTTTTTAAAAAAAAAAAAAAAAGCAATTAAAGCACCAGTGGGAATCTATTAAATTCAATTTCTCAGAGATATAAGCAGTTTCAAATCCTATTTATTTTTAGGCCCAGGGATTGAACCCAGGGGCATTTAACCACTGAGCCACATACTCAGCTCTTTTTATTTCTTATTTTGAGACAGGGTCTCCCTAAGTGGCTTAAGGCCTCACTAAATTACTGAGGCTGGCTTGGAACTTGCAATCCTCCTGCCTCAGCCTCCCAAGTCACTGGATTATAGGTGTATGCCACTGTGCCTAGCTCAAATCCAATTGGAGCTGTCATGTACTCCCACCTCAAGAGAGTGTACACCAGTGTTGTGGAGGGGAGAGGGGTAAATGATGAGTGGAGAGTTACTTTGACTATTTATGTAGCTCTTTATTTAAAAAAAAAAAAAAAAAAACTAAACAAAATGTGGCAAAATGTCCCTTTAGTCTCAGTGGATATTTATGAGAGCTACATCATTTCCTGTACTAAAGAAAATTTTCACACCTTGAGTTTCTCTAACACCTCTTACCCCTCTTCACTTTCCACTGACCACCTTTCCTTTTACCCCCAGAGAAGACTGATGTCATCAGAGCTCTCTGGCCACCCCACCACATCTCCCAGCCACCAGGTGACTAGACTCACGTGTTCTGTCTTCCTGCCCACTTTCAAAGAGCAGCTAAACCCCACCCCTTGTCTGTGCACAGGGTCCTGCAGTCTATTAGAGACTTCAGTAATTCTTTGTTGCCTGTCTTTTCTGCTAGAACATTTTCTCCATAAAGCCAGAAATTTTGCCTGTGTTGTTCGCTGATGTTTCCCAAACGTGGAGATCACTGACTGGCAAGGAGTAGACTCTACACACATATTTCTTAAATGGATAAAGGTGTTCCTTCTCCACGTTTTTTTAAACAGTTCACTATTTTAAAAAATTAAATATTAGAATAGAAAAACATAACTGGAATGCACAAAATGTTTGGGATAAAGGCTTCTGCCTTGCTATTCCCATAAACCATTGAAATATCTTACAAGTGCCAGTATTTCAACATTGGAACTGTACCTCTTCCCTTTTTGAGGGGAGACTGGGGATTGAACCCAGGAATGCTTAACCACTGAGCCACATCCCCAGCCCATTTTTATATTTTATTTAGAGACAGGGTCTCACTGAGTTGCTTAGGGCTTCGATAAGTTGTTGAGGCTGGCCTTGAACTTGCAATCCTCCTGCCTGGGCCACTGGAGTGACTAGGATTACAGGCCTACACCACTATACTCAGCTCCCATTATTATTATTTTGTTGTTGTTGTTGTTGTTGTTGTTGTTTGGGGGGGGGTTGGTTCTGGGTATTGAACTCAGGGCCTTGTGCATGTGAGACAAGCACTCTACCAACTGAGCTATATCCCCAGCCCCTCCCATTATTTTTTTAGAAATAAGTCTGTCCTCCTTTCCATGACACGGTATCTCTGAACCTCTGGACCTCTGGACACCAATGAATTTGTCTAGGAGGCCCATGTTTTAACGCCCAAGAAATGTGAAAGTAATTTTAGCACAGGCAAAATCAGAACCATCAGAATACAGTGGGTTAAAAGTCAAATGCACTTTTTTTAGACAGCAGAAATTTTCAAAGTAAGTTCTCTATGACTCATTGTAAAAGTTAATATGTTCATTCTGAATTACACGTATATACCGTGTTTCTTAAAAACAGTAAAGGAAGTAAACAGTAAAGGACTGAAATGACTGTTCTCAGCTCAGCATCTCTACTCTGTCATCAAAGTAGGGGACAAGCAGCATCACAGAAGGGTTTTAGACTTCTGACTTGAGAACATTCTGAAACAATTCCTTGAAAAACATTTTGGAAACTCGTTAATGAATCACTCACCATGAATTAGAAAAGATGATTGTGTGTTTTCTGGAAGTCTCAGCTAAATTATATAGGTACTTTTTTATTTTTAAAATTCCTACTCTTATTAGAGTGACTTGGCTAAAGTGTGAGACTTGGTAGTCTTTTAGGACACACTCTAAATTACTAGTAAGAGCCTTTGTAGCCTGAACAGGAACTAAAAACTATTTAACTTCACTTTTAAATACGAAACATTTTAGCTCTAGAGCTAGTGATTGCATTGTACCTTAAATCCAATAAGATTAGTATATGGGAAAAATTTTTTAAACATTTTCCTTTTGGCACATGGTACTTTGATATTATAAAAAATGATTTGTGTGCATTTTTGAGGTAGAGGATAAACTTTAAAGAATAAGATTTCTCTTCCAGTCAAAATTATGTTCTATGATCTAATTTAGGGGAAAACCAGACCTAGGGCCATAACAGCTTGTAAGGACTCAAGAATTCTAATCATTTCTCTGGGCATGTTCTTGATCTCAAATATTAATGACTGCCTTCACTTCCCTGGGCTCGATTTCTACATCTAGAGTGGACTATTTGGTCCTGCAAATGAAGTCCAGAGTTTGTCAGGCAGCAGATTCATTGACACTCTGGGGTTTCTGCGGCCTAACATAAACATCCAGGATTGACGTCAGAAGTTGAAGTCTGTCATTGCCGTGCCACCAAATGATTTATGTTCATGACTTCCTTGTTCTTAGTACAAGAATGAGTAATTTTTTTTATTTATCTTTTATCTGAACAAGTAAATATTTACAAAGGAGACTCAGGTATGGTATTCATTGAAAACCAATTATTGTACAAGATGTTATCTCTCAGCAAGTTTCATTCCAAACCACCTGAACATTTAATCAGTGCTCATTTTTATAGATCAACTTGAATCAATGAGTCATAATAAGCTTCTTAAAAGTTAGTTTAGAGCCAGGAACAGTGGCTCATGACTATAATCCCAGTGGCTCAGGAGGCTGAGGCAGAAGAATCGCAAGTTCAAAGCCAGCCTCAGCAACAATGAGGCACTAAGCAACTCAGTGAGACCCTGTGTCTAAATAAAGTACAAAATAGGGCTGGGGATGTGGCCCAGTGGCCTAGTGCACCTGAGTTCAAACCCAGTACCAAAAAAAAAATTTTAAAAAAAGTTTTGTCAGCTACCACTAAAATACAAAAATATTTCATGTTTTCATTGATAAAGATGAGCTCTTTTAATAGAGTTGACATCAGAGTGCTATACATTAACAACTTAATGTTGACTGTTACATTGAATACCAATATAGATGGATAGATGTCTTAATGTTTCAGTATGAGGACACTAAAAGTCTTAAATATATCTAAGGCTTAAGATCTTATTCATTAACCAACTTTGGGTTTGCTCTACAGTGACATATTTTCAAAAGAATGCTTTTTTAAAGATTACTCAAATGTCCTTTATTATTTCGTTTCTCTTCTTGGCAAAGACTACATCTGACTCATTTTTATATTTCTAAAAATTAAGAAGGGCCTGGGGATATATTTATCAATAATAAGTATTTATTGGGTGAAATCTTATCACTAGACTTTGACAAGTAATATTCAGAAATGTGTCCGACTCTTTAATATGTAAGTTTTTGATGTGCACAAACTACCAATTTGATTTGGAAAACTTGCTGCTTAATGTGTTTCTTTTAAAATTGATCAGTGGGCTCTCTGCTTCCAGGCCACCATGATCAGAACATCTTACCTCTGCCACACTCCTCCGCTATGATATTCCGCCTCATATTGGGCCCAGAGCAATGAAATTGGCCAGCCTTGGGCTGAAACTCTGAAACGTGTAGCTGTTTCCCAGCCAGCCTTTTATTATGCAAACCTGTTCTAGGGTTCACAACCCCCTCACCCTAGAGAATGACAATAGAATCAGGTTTTTGGATGCTGAATGACAAGATTGAGCAAAACAACAGAATGACCTTCTCTACTGTGAAACATGGTGACAGATCAGAAATTAGAGAAAGTAGGAAAAAAAGGGTAAAGCTTTGAAAGCTACTAGTGTTATTGCCTTCTTTCACTTTCTTTTTTTAAAAGCTCTAAGCGAAGTTTTGTTTTAACCTCTTGACTTTTGTTTAAGTTACATAGAGAAGTGCTAGGCAGATTCAATTTTCTTACCTTTTTCTTCTTCCCCTGGGTCTGTCTTTCTGGAGGGCCATTCTTTAAGGCGGTGTCCTATTCCCTGCGGTGATTCTTTCCATCCACAGGGATGTCCTGAAAGCCCTCTACCAGCAGTCATGGCTCACAGGTTGTCATCCACAAAGGGAAAGACAGGCTCAGTCCTCTGCTAAACAGGAATTATCTTCCACCTGGGGAAAGATTGATTCCTTGGAATGAAGTGAAATTGTGGAAACTGTCTGAAAACTGTAGAAACACAGAAACCTTCTGACCGAGCAGTAAAGTGCAACTCTATTTTCTCTACAGCCAGAGAAAAGGAATAAAGTGAGTTCTGGTATCTATTGCCAGTGCTTACAAGAAACACCTTTGAGAGTAATCATTAACAAACCCGGAAGTCCTCGTTGCTCTCCTTGGGCTTAAAACTGACCGCTTAACACTGTCTGCAAATCTCCTTAGAAGCAAGAGCCTTTATGATTTTTAATGTCTCACTAATCAGGGAATAATTTAGAGATGGCTATCCTGGAAACATTTTGCTCAAAAGAATGAATGATGATGGAAATTTAGGCTTGGAAATTTAAGCCAGGTGTTTTATTCATTATTGTTTTAAAAGAACATAAGGAATGAGGGCAAGAGAGTCCCAGATTAAAACCATGGGCCTGGGTCATTTCACGGAGGTGTTTTGGTAGCAGATACTCAAAGGCTATACCCTTCTTGGCACCTCCAGTTTCTGAAGTTCCAGTTAAGGTTAATTCCCTCTCCCAGTGCTGAGGGATCTAACCAAGGCATCATTCATGCTCGGCAGAGACTCTACGACTGCCCCAGTTTTATTTTTTACTGAGTGTAACCTCATGAACCCTCAAGATTGCATCTCAAACAAACCTGCCCTCCTACTCTGCCTAGAGAGCACAGCGTGGGCTTCAGCAGGACAGACATTGTTCTCCTGCCTTGAGACGCCTGTGTAATGCAGAACGTGTATCTGGACCTTCTCTTACTTCTGTGTCTTAGCCTTGGCTAAGATATACTCCCTTCACCCCAGCTCCTGTTAATATCCTTCCTGAAAGCATTATGTATGTAGAGACACTGGAATCTGCAGGTCAAACTTCAGTTTCAGTGAAGGAAAAACAAGTATATTGAGATGTACCTGTTTGTAAGAAGAGTATTTAAAATCAGCCTCTTGAGAGGGCTGGGGACATAGCCCAGTGGCAGAATGAGGTTTATCCCTAACACCAAAAAAAAAAAAAGAAAAAAGAAAAGAAAGAAAATCAATGTCCTGGGGAAACTGACAGTGTTCTGTTATCTCATTCCTTTCCACATGTGGTTCAACGCACCCATGGTGGTTTCCATTTGAGAAAACCAAATTCATTTGAAAGAGTGTTCTTCTTTAGAAGTCTGGGTGACTCAGTCTAAGAATTGCCAGTCATATGTTCTAAATATAATTAACTGGTGTTGTACTTTACTTGAAGTTGCAAATGCTGGATCATTTTCTGCAAGCCAGGCGTTTACCTTGACATCCTTCAGTGAACTCCTATATAAAAGATAAGTAAGCACAGATAGTTTTTTGTTGTTGTTTTTGTTTTTAAAGTTGTAGATACAACAACCAACAATAAAAATTTTAAAAAAAAATAAAAATAAATAAATAAATAAATAAAGTTGTAGATGGACACAATACCTTTCTTTTATTTATTTATTTTTATGTGGTACTGATGATTGAACCCAATGCTTCACACGTGCTAGGTAAGCGCTCTACCACTGAGCTGCAACCCCAGACCCAGCACAGATAGTTTTGTGGGAATAACATCCTTGCCTAAAATATCTGGCTGCGCATCATCCCACCTATTCATACCCATCCTGCACATGTTCACCCCCCTCAAGAAGCCTCTTCCTTTACAAAAAAGGGTGTTCCTCAGTGCTGCTGCATGGCTCCAAGGACTAATGACCTCAATTAAAGTTACAGGTGTTGAAGAAGCTTTCTGTAATGATCAATCAATTTACTCTAACATAACATACGACTAATTACACTTATCTCAATTATGACCAGAGTGTCACTTTAGCACCAGGATATTTGGGCTGAAGTCCAGATGATCTGAATTCAGACAGATAGTAGAACACAGTGGTGGGAGTGACTTCCTTTTTCATACCCTCACTTTTCAAATAATACCCAACTCTTTGAGGAAGAACACTGTGAGCAAAACAAAGAAGGCTTCATACTGACAAGAGCTTTCCTGAAGAAGTTAAGGGCAATCTAATGAGATACTTAAGGGTTACGACACGGGGCTCCTATTCATGGATTGAACTTGACTTTTTAACAGCATATGTTCTAATCTTTCTTTCTGCTTTGGAGCCATTGTGCTTTTGGTATATTAATACTTAGATCACATACAATTTTGAGTTTCTGTAAAGATAACTGCTTTCTTAGTAACTGAGTAAACCACTGACAGCTCCAAAGAGTCTCTTTAATTATATGTAATCAGGAGCCCCATTTATTTTTCTTCAAAAATCAATGCTACCTTACATTTATACTATAATTTATAATTTTTAAAAATTTTGCTTCAATCCCCAGCACCACAAAGAAACAAAAAGAATTTTTACTCTATCTAATTTTATATAAAACTTATTTTGCGTGATAAGCAAGGTCTTATTTCGTCAAAAAGATTGAGGTTCATATTAGAAAATATGGAGCTCAGACTAAGCCCAGGTCTTCCAAATCTTGGTGCAGTAATCTCTCTATTCTATCAATCTGATTCTCAAAATTAGATGTAGCCAGGTGTGGTGGCACACACCTATAATCCCAGGGGCTCAGGAGGCTGAGGCAGGAGGATTGTGAGTTCAAAACCAGCCTCAGAAAATTGGCAAGGCACTAAGCAACTCAGTAAGACTCTGTCTCTAAATAAAAATATAAAAAAGGGCTGGGGATGTGGCCCAGTGGTTAAACACCCCTGGGTTCATTCAATCCCTGGTACCAAAAAAAAAAAAAAAGTGAGGCCCCACATATAAAAGCTTACAATACTTTTTCCTTTCTAGGTAGCTTATTTGAGGCCTGTGCCTTAATCCTTATTAAAAAATAAATTGGGTAGCTTGAGTTGTAGCTCAGTGGTAGAGCCTTCCTAGCATGTGTGAGGTACTGGGTTCAATCCTCAGCACCACATAAAAATAAAGTAAAGGCATTGTGTCCATATACAACTAAAATACATATATATATATTTTTTAAAAAATAGGCAGAATGCTGTGTACAAAAATGATGAATTAATAATGAAATGTGATTGATTATTAAAATTGGATAATGAAAAATTTGAAGCCAATTGGGAGTAGTTTTAACCTATTATTAAAGTATAAATTTTAGTAAGTAATTTGAGAATTTAACAATTGGGTTGTCTTCTGATATACTGATGATATTATTCTGTTCTTTGAGATTGACAACAATATGTAGTTCTAAAATGGGATTGCAGTGAGGTTGGCAAGGTCAAGTACAATTACCAAGACTCATCAAACTCAAGATAAGTAAAATTTATAACTCACAAATTATGCTGTTAAAGCCATCTACGCAATTTTATAAGATGAATTTTGTCACCTTCAAATGCACGTGTTGAAGCCCTAACCCCCAATACTTCAGAAACTGTGTACTTGAAATAGGGCTTTTAAAGAGATGATAAAATAAAAATGAGGTCGTCAGGGTTCATCCTAAGCCAATATGACTGCTGTCCTTATAAGAAAATATTCAGACATAGATATATACAAAGGAAAGACTAAATAGAGACATGGGGAGAAGACCACCATCCACAAGTCGAGGAGAAAGGCCCAGAAGACCCCAATCCTGCCAGGTGCAGTGGCTCACACCTATAATCCCAGTGGCTCAGGAGGCTGAGGCAAGAGGAGCAAAAGTTCAAAGCCAGCCTCAGCAAAAGCAAGGTGCTAAGCAACTCAGTGAGACCCTGTCTCTAAATAAAATACAAAATAGGGCTGGGGATGTGGTTCAGTGGTCAAGTGCCCCTGATTCAAACCCTGATACCCCCTATCACACACACACAAAAAAAGATACCAACCCTGTCAACAACTTGCTGTCAAACTTCTGGACCCTAGAACTGTGATAAAACAAGTGTCCGTTGCTTAAGCCACTGAGTCTATAATTAATACCCACACTCAAATATCCATGTACACACACACTACACACACACACTCAGATAATACTAGGCTACCTAAAACAAGATATATAAAATCTGCCTTTGAGTAGCTGTTGAATTTTCTCCTCTGGGTGACTTTTTTATTCATCAAAATTTTTGTGCTTGGGGCTGGGGCTGTAGCTCAGTGGTAAAGTGCTTGCCTCGAATGCATGAGGCACTGGGTTCAATTCTCAGCACCATATTAAAATAAATAAAGATATTGTGTGTCCATCTACAACTAAAAAAAATAAAAGATTTTTGTGCTTAATATCTAGATTACTTCTATTTTAATATCAATTACTATAAACCTCAATAATGAACTATGAAAATTTGACACACAACATATAACATATAAAACCTACATAGTTTTATTAACTACATAACTCAAATCTATAAAAATAGAAAGAAGCCATGTTCCCTAGTGAGGAGTGACTGACCCACAGTGCCCGCTATCCTTGGTGGGTATTGTGAATACTGAGTCCATGTCAAGGCATCTGTCTCTCTATTAAACACTTATGGTATCCTGATAGTCACAGTGGTGATTGCCCCAAAAGCTGAGCCAAAGAAAGGAAAAAGGAAATCCTTGCTATTATGTCCCTATAAATTGTGTAGAGTTCATGTGATCAGAAAGCATCGAAATCATAAAATAAAGCAAGCACTATTTCTTATTATATTTCTTAACAGTAAAAATTTCCCTTGTTTCAATTCCTTCTTCATGTTGAACCACAGTGACATGTTGTGACTCAATGATGTCCAGAAATGACAGAAAAACCTGAGCGCTAAGTATCACTTTTATATTGACAAGTTCTGAGTTGGGCAGCATCATTGCATCAAGAGGATGTTTCCTCCACGCATCTCTCCCCACACTGTGTTGACAAGTAGGGATGCAAATACGTGTTTTCTGGGGTTCTACTTGTTAAATTTTTTAGGACCTTTTTTAAAAAAAAATCAAAAAATTGCAAATGAACATGACATGCTTGTATCTAACAAGATATGAAAAAGTATAAAAAGCTAGAACCTTAGATCTTAAAATCACAACTCCCATCTCCCTGTTCTGACATAAATTATTGGTTTTCTATGGATGTTATGGAAGAAAACTCCCCAATAGTTGGAACTGTGGGCTTTACAGAGAGAAGACAATGGCTAATCCAGTGAAATGTTGGGTAGAATTCTATAGTAGCCCTGTTATCCGCTTTGCTTCTTGA